ACCAAAGTTCACAATGAATTCTATAAAAGGGTCAGCAGTTTACAGAGACTTTGTTGTTACTGGTCACTGTGCTCGTCATACAGGTAAATATGCTCTTTGTTACAGTTGATAGTAGGGTATAATATGTTTAACACACTTGTTAACAAAGACATATTTTCATAAATTTTTCTATTCGGTTTTAGCTGTAAGGACGAGACAAAAGCAACAAAGAACTGAGCCGACCTTTCTGCTTTGCACAAAAGGTTTGTTTTTCTTATCTTTTTATTATTTTGCTGTCAATACAATCACTATAAGTCATAAAATTGATGAGTTTGGAGGGGGTATTTGGGTGCTCTGTAGATTTGACTTATTTTGAGCAAAATATGAGATTTAATTTTAAACATTCAGAATTATGTAAACCTCACATCATCACAGTATATGATTGGTTGATGATTGGTTTCCTTTGACTGTTAATGTCATTTGGTTTTGAACAAATTATGCAGTATACATTAATAAAGGTTATCAACTTGAATAATTTGTTCACCAAATCCAGTGTGTGATTTAGTGTTCCCTCAGTGTATAGCCAATTTTATTTACAGAACTTTTTAAGCCAACAAGCTGGTTGCAGTACGGAGAATATTCAGACTCCACTGACAGTGTCATGAAAACAAGACAAACTTGACCTTTTCCCACATTTTTTTTTTTTTCTACCAGGGAATCATGAGGATCTCACTTGCTTGTTTGCTGCTGCTTTCTGCCACTGTGCTCTGTCAGGATGCAACCACCATCCTCCGTTACAGAAAGTTTATAGAACAGCATATCAATGGGCAGATGCGTACTAATAGGTGTGATGAGGTGATAGGACGTCTGCGCATCTCCGAAACCAACAGCAATAGGTGTAAGGAGACCAACACCTTCATCCGAGCTACCACCAACTTGGTCAAATCCATCTGTGGACAAGCAGGGGAACCATATGGTGAAATGACCAAGAGCCTCCAAACCTTCGACATTGTTGTCTGTCAACTGAGAAACCAGGGTGCCACCCATCCCCGCTGTCAGTACCGTGGTCAATCTAGCACCAGGAAGATTGCAATCAAATGTGAACAAGGTTTTCCTGTGCACTTTGACGGAGATATTGTACACTTTGACCACTGATTAAACATTAACTGTATAATTAAGCATCCTGTTAAATAAAATACATTTGACAGCTTAAGTCATCTTGTAGTTAATATTGTAGAAATACAGTAACATCATTGATTACAGAACTAGTGGTTAATGCACAGTGAGTATTCATAAATTAATATTTTTCTCCTGTTTGACTATCTGCTGAAGTCATTTGACCTCCCTCATTGCAGACTGTAAGCTCTTTTTTTTTAAATCAGTGCAAGTGAGGCCCTTTCATTTCTGATGTTGATCATCTTCTCTGTTGCCCACACCATGAACTGTGACACAGTACATTTCTTAACTTTAAACAAACTATGTTCAGCAAATAATTGGCTAAATTCAAATGGAAGCCCTTTGATTTACCAAAAAAAAAAGTCTCTTCTGACCAAAACATGGTAGAAGTATGAAGAGTAAGAGGCATATTTATTAGAATGCGTAAAATATAGAATACAAAAAGATTGGAAAGCCAGAAACTAAGAGTCATCAGAAGATACCTGAGCGTGTAATGTTAATTTTACCTGTGAACCTTGAATAAACCAGCACGGTTTTTTGTAGCCACTTCCGCCTCGTCTCTCTGAGTTCAAATGGTAAAGCGTAACTGGGAATTTACCCTTCACCGTTCATTTATTAATCGCTCATGTCTATTGGTTTTCTTTAACTCAATAATAGGTGTAATGGCATTATGGGGAAACTTGAATTGTCTTGGCGGAGGTTTATGCTCTGAGTGCTGTCTAGTTTGTTTTTTGTTTTTTTTTCCTTTGACAAAAAAGATGGGGATATCAGAGTTGGAAGGCCTGATAACTACTGGAGTCAATACTGGGAATATAAAACCTTAATCATGCGAGTGTAGTGTAACACAACTACACTTATGGTTTGTAGAATATACTAAATATATTTCTTCTGCATTCAGGAGGAAGCTTCTTTAATGTATTTTATCATGGTGCTGTGGAAATCAAACTGTGTTGGGTTAAAGTCAAAGATAAGGTTTTTAAAATGTTTGCACTTGTTCTGTGCTCTGGGCAGTTGGGACTGATTTTGTCTAACTCCTTAAGAATATATTGTGTTTAGCAACACTGGAGCAACTTTTTAAAATAGGTTTGCAGTTATGACATGATGATCTTGATAACAACTGGATTGTTAGCAACTGCATGTACTATCAAAGTTGAGATGATTTTATATTCATTGGTTAAAACATTGCTTTGCATACTGTTAATGGTATCTTCTCTGTTTCTAGCCTAGCTTGTTTTACTGGTATCATGTGTTTTTATTAAAATTCATGCTGTGTGTGTGTGTGTGTGCAGGTTTGAAAGACTTGGTTTTCCTAAATGTTCTCAAAACAGTAAAAATGGTTTTGCTTTTGCCTAATATAACAATGTGGCAGTTTGGATCTCCCTCCCGCTGTGGTGCTGTGCTGCGCCAAGAAACCAAAACCAAAGTTCACAATGAATTCTATAAAAGGGTCAGCAGTTTACAGAGACTTTGTTGTTACTGGTCACTGTGCTCGTCATACAGGTAAATATGCTCTTTGTTACAGTTGATAGTAGGGTATAATATGTTTAACACACTTGTTAACAAAGACATATTTTCATAGATTTTTCTATTCGGTTTTAGCTGTAAGGACGAGACAAAAGCAACAAAGAACTGAGCCGACCTTTCTGCTTTGCACAAAAGGTTTGTTTTTCTTATCTTTTTATTATTTTGCTGTCAATACAATCACTATAAGTCATAAAATTGATGAGTTTGGAGGGGGTATTTGGGTGCTCTGTAGATTTGACTTATTTTGAGCAAAATATGAGATTTAATTTTAAACATTCAGAATTATGTAAACCTCACATCATCACAGTATAACACTAAGTCAGTTCAACTTCAGAGTTATCACTCTGTCCATTTAGGAAGCACAAGTCATTGTGAACCAGTTTCACCTGCTTTAGTGCAAATGAAAGTAACAAGTGCGATGGAGACGCAAAAGCAAGACAACCTCCAAAAAAGGGAATGGTTTTGCATGTGGTGGCCACAGACAGATGCTCTCTCCTTTTCCTTCCTGACTGATTCATCTCAAGTTTAGTGTTTTGCTAGTGTCATTACTGGTAGCATGAGGCAGTACCTGCAGCCCAATGGTGCTTTCACTGCTGTGAGGTACCAGACATTATCAGGAGGGCATACAGGCATGAGGGGGTCATACACACTTCTGAGCCACGTTGAGTTGCTGTGATGAAACTCAGGCAACTTGGATGAGCCTGTGATTTCAAATTTTCATTTTGATTTTCAGTGTGAATACAGCTCTCCATGGGTTGATGATTGGTTTCCTTTGACTGTTAATGTCATTTGGTTTTGAACAAATTATGCAGTATACATTAATAAAGGTTATCAACTTGAATAATTTGTTCACCAAATCCAGTGTGTGATTTAGTGTTCCCTCAGTGTATAGCCAATTTTATTTACAGAACTTTTTAAGCCAACAAGCTGGTTGCAGTACGGAGAATATTCAGACTCCACTGACAGTGTCATGAAAACAAGACAAACTTGACCTTTTCCCACATTTTTTTTTTTTCTACCAGGGAATCATGAGGATCTCACTTGCTTGTTTGCTGCTGCTTTCTGCCACTGTGCTCTGTCAGGATGCAACCACCATCCTCCGTTACAGAAAGTTTATAGAACAGCATATCAATGGGCAGATGCGTACTAATAAGTGTGATGAGGTGATAGGACGTCTGCGCATCTCCGAAACCAACAGCAATAGGTGTAAGGAGACCAACACCTTCATCCGAGCTACCACCAACTTGGTCAAATCCATCTGTGGACAAGCAGGGGAACCATATGGTGAAATGACCAAGAGCCTCCAAACCTTCGACATTGTTGTCTGTCAACTGAGAAACCAGGGTGCCACCCATCCCCGCTGTCAGTACCGTGGTCAATCTAGCACCAGGAAGATTGCAATCAAATGTGAACAAGGTTTTCCTGTGCACTTTGACGGAGATATTGTACACTTTGACCACTGATTAAACATTAACTGTATAATTAAGCATCCTGTTAAATAAAATACATTTGACAGCTTAAGTCATCTTGTAGTTAATATTGTAGAAATACAGTAACATCATTGATTACAGAACTAGTGGTCAATGCACAGTGAGTATTCATAAATTACCTCATTGCAGACTGTAAGCTCTTTTTTTAAATCAGTGCAAGTGAGGCCCTTTCATTTCTGATGTTGATCATCTTCTCTGTTGCCCACACCATGAACTGTGACACAGTACATTTCTTAACTTTAAACAAACTATGTTCAGCAAATAATTGGCTAAATTCAAATGCAGGGCTTAATGATTAATCAGGTGGGAGTGTGGATGTAGAACAAAATTATCCATGTAGTAATACGGCTTGCAAACCAATGATGATAAGATGATGTTAGGGGGTAGGACTAGATAAGTGTAACTTCTTCCTACTCTACTAGGTAGAAGCAAATTGAAAATACATTTGTGGATATGTGTGGAATTATGTGTGTTTACATATTGACTGTTGTTACATGTTTGAAAGAATAAATAAATCAAATCAAATCAAATTCAAATGCAAGCCCTTTTTTTTTTTCTTTTTTTTTTTTGGTAAATCAGTCTCTTCTGACCAAAACATGGTAGAAGTATGAAGAGTAAGAGGCATATTTATTAGAATGGACACGTGATCGAGGTTCCAGGGGATACAGGAGAAATTTTGTGAGAGATGACAGATGTAATATTTGTCACAAAAGAGGACACTGGGCACGCAACTGCCCTGTCCTTTATCAGCAGGTGCCAGGACAAGCAGGATCATATCCTGCTCAGACGACAAATGTGCTACCACATACACCTCCAGCTCAACATCAGGCACCTGGATTCCACCAGATGCATCAGCAATAGGGCTGCTGAAAGTCTGTAACAGGTGACTCCCTGAGCCAAGCGAACATGTTTCTTGAGCCCCTAGTCCGTGTGACTATCAATGGTCTGGAGCATTTGTGCTTGATTGACTCAGGAGCTAGGTACTCCACTTTAAACGCGCCACTCTCACGTTCAAGGCGTACCACATCGGTTATTGGCTTCTCGGGTATGAAAGAGGAGTGGCCATTCTCTGAAGAAGTTCCTTGTTCATAGAATAATCTTTCATTTTATCATTCATTTCTACTTTCTCCATCTTGTCCCGTTAATCTTCTTGCACGTGATATTTTGTGTTCTCTGAATGTGACCATGATGAGGTCACCCAGACATGTGGACATCACTTTTCCAGACGGTTCTGTTCAAAGATGTGCAAC